ATATAGTCAGGTGTGTTGGCACATGCCTGTAATCCCAGCACTGGGGAGGCTGAGGCAGAAGGATCACCCTGAGTTCAAGGCTAGCCTGGGCTACATAGCGAGTTCAAGGACAGCCTGTACTTATAAAATGAGAACCTGTCTCAAAAACAACAACAAATTTTTTAAGGGACAGCAATGTAGTATAATGTAAAGGGTCTGGGTTCAATCCCAGGACTACAAAAGTAAAATAAAAAGAATATAATAACACTCTTTCAGTATCTATCTTTGTATTATATCTGACCAAATAATTGATACCTTCAATGTCAAACATCTCCAAGCTCTAACTTTCCACTACTCTAACTGCAAAGCTTGAAAAAAAATCTGCTCAGTGTTGCTATCTTTGCTTGATAGCTGAACTGAAAAATCCGACTTGAAAAAACCTGTACAAGCCCAAAGTGAGTCACATGTCGTGTCTCACAGCAGACAAGGGGGTGATGCATCAGTCAAAGCAACATTCTCATCCAGACAACATATAGTGATTGGGTTAGTACACTAACACATTCATCATCATGCTTTTTTAAAAAGCACTTTATTTACATAAAATAGCATAACCACGGCTCAAAAACAAAAGTCAGTGATACCAGCAGTAAAGCTAAGAGAAACTGTGAAAACTACCATAGAGTTAAAAGAAATCAGGACTGTACATTTAGCTCAGGGGCATTGCACCTCCCTTGCAAGAGCAAGGTCCTGAGTTCAATCCCCAGTACCAAAAAAATAAAATAAAATAAAATAAAATAAAAAAGGAAAGAAAGAGACCATTGCAAAATTCATTGAAAGTCATAGAAAAATGCACTCGTGTGATTTTTTGGGCCTCAGAACCCATATTTGTTCCCCATTATTTCTTATGGGAAAAATATGTTCAGTTCTTAAACTTTTTGGTGTTCAAACATGAATTTGGAACAAACTGAGTTCAACAACTGAAGTATCACTGCATTTTTTTTTTTTTTTAGAAGTAGAATAGTTGGAGGCCGGGGATTTAGCTCAGTGGTGCTGCCACCTGCCTCGCAAGCTCAAGGTCCCGAGTTCAATCTCTGGTACAAAAAAAAGTAGAATAAATGGTAAAAATATATGCATATTTAAAAAGATTCTGGGTATATATTCCCAAATTCTTCTCAGATTGTATTAATTTATACTAATAAGGAAATATGGGACAGTAACTGTTTCTCTTCATCCTTACTAATTCAGTACAAGTTGAGCATCTCTAATCCAAATATCCAAAATCTGAAAGAATCCAAAACTCAAAACATGAATTCCTAAGTGGAAAATTCCACACCTGACCTCACATGATGGGTTGTAGTCAAAACACAAATACACTAAAAATACTGTATGGAATCACAAGCTACAAGTTCTCCTTTGTGTCTTTAGTTGTGCTGTTCTGACTGCCTTCATATCCTGAATCAATTCAAAATGTTTACCTTTCATGGTAAAGATGTTTTACTTTTCATTTTGACTCTAGGGAAGAGGTAGAAGTTGCACAGCACTAGATCCAGTAAATAAGGTAGATGAAGACTTATCATAATTTGACAGAAATTACCACAATCACTTTTGAATTGATTCAGGACATTGATGTATCCACAAAAAAGACACTCATGAAAGAGGACTTCCAGAATTGCTTCAGAAAGTGTTAAGAGGTGGCATATACCTGTAATCTCTCCATTCTGGGGGCTTGGGTAGGAGGAATGCTGCAAATTCAAGGATAGCTTGGGCTACAAATAAGTTCAAGGCCAGCCTGAACTACATAGCAAATCCCAGCCTCAAAAACCAAAAAACTAAAGTGACAAAAATGTTGGTTAGAAGTGTAAGGGAGTACTATGAAGATTTATGACAATGTGTCTTTTACTATACTAAATTTTAAAAATGTAAACTTTTTTTTTAAAACAAGTAGTGGTATTTTATTTTGTAGAAATGAGAAGGGTAACAGATATATAAATTATTTTATTCTATTCATTTTTTTAACAAAAGACAAGTAAAGTCCATTAGTAGATATCATGCACAAAAGATGTAAAAATAAAGGTATACTGTTTGCATAGAATGAGGAATTTTTTTCTCTTAAATTCCTTTATTGGTTCATTTTAGGTAAACAATACATTTACATTCATCATTGGGAACTTGTACCTTTACATGAGGTATCTTGGTTCTTATTTTTCCACATTCCCCTGCCCACCCTTCAACCCCTCCACCCCTCCCTATTTGCCAAAGCTTTGTTTCCATTTATTTATCTCATATTTTTTTCCTTTCACTTCTTTTTTCCCCTACCCCTCCCACTTCCTCTACCTCTTAGCAACTTTTCTTCCTAATTCACATTATTAATTATTCATTTTAATTCTTTTTTTTTTTTTGGTACCAGGGATTGAACTTCGTTCTTTGAGCTTTAGAGGCAAGTGGTGGAATCACCTAAAACCACTGAGCTAAAATCCCCAGCCCCATTTCAATTCTTATTTACACTTTCAGTTTCTCATACCAGAGAAACTATTTGATATTTACACATGTGTAAACACACTATTTTTATCAGCCCTTGTATGTATATAAGATGTATATGAAATATAAATAAATTTTATTTCTAGGCTTGAGTTCCACACCCAAGATGTTTGATTATATATATGAAAATATTCTACACTCTGAAAAAATCTGAAATGCAAAACACTTTTAGTCCCAAGTATTTCAGGTAAGGATTACTCAGTCTGTATTATCAATCTTTAGGTTTTTTGTTTGTTTTTGGTACAAGGAAACTAACTCAGGACCTTGCACTTGCCACGTAGGGGTGGCGCTGCTAAGCTACATCCCTGGGCCTGTATTATCAATATTGCTAATTTAATACACAAAAACAATGACATTTTCATTTGTATAGTGGTGTTTTTCTTTTTTTGATGAGGTTATCTAATTTACTTTTAATGCGTTTTTTCTTATTCTTATGTTTTCAAATGCTCTATCCTGCCTTTCAAGATATTCTTCAAAATCAAGGTAGTCCTAAGGCTAAAGAGAAAGAAATAAAGAAAGAAAACTGGCAGGGCATGGGAGCACATACCTGTAATCCAGCACTCTGTGGAGGCTGAGGCAGGGGGAGTGCAAATTCAAGCCCTGGGCAACTTAGCGATTTAGTGAGACTGTCTCAATATTAAAGCAAAATAGTGTATTTTTTCTAAAATAAGTGGAAACCACAAGTGGAAAATTCCACACCTGACTTTAGAAATACTTTAAAACAAAACTCTGATTTAGTAATCTCTTTAAGAGTTCATAATATGCTTAAAGTTACATAATTCACACAAGCAATCAGCAATTCACTCAAATTTATTGTTTTGTTAAATTGTGCTTTGTTTTGAGACACAGTCTCACTATGTTGTTCGGGCCAGCTTTGAACTCACTATGTATCCCAGGCTGGCCTTGAACTCACAGCCATTACACATGCATTGTCTTGTTTTAACATTTTAACTTTTTGGCGGGGTGCCAAGAATTGAACTCAGGACCTTATGCTTCTCTGGAAGGCACAGTGCCCACACATGCATTGTCTCAAGAGGGCAGCCACAACTTCCACACCCATTTTAAATCTGGATTTTTTTTTTTTTTTTTTTTTGGTACTAGGGATCCAACTTGGGTCCTTGCGCTTGTGAAGCGGAACCACCAAGCTAAATCCCTGGACCTATTAAACCTGGATTTTTAAAGTAAAATCTGATTTTCTGAGGGGTTTTTTTCTCTTTGTTTTTCAGACAGGGTCTCCATATGTTGCCTCAGGTGGCACCAAACTTCTGGGCTCAAGCAATCCACCTACCTCAGCCTCCTGAGTAGCTGGGACTACAGGTGCATTTTGCCACACCCATAACCTGGTTTTTAAGTGGTGAAACCAATCCCAAAAACATTCCTGGCTTGCCTTTGAGGATATATTTGGTCTCTTGCTTTATAAACAAATGAGTAAGATGAGAACAAAACCTACTACCTTAACAGTTACTAATAACAATAAGTCAAGGGAAAGCTGCTATATCACACACATATACACATTTGTCTTTTTAAAATATAAATCATTGCCATTCATTCATTTATTCACTTTTGGTTTTGTTGAGACAGGGTCTCATTATGTAGTCCAGGCTGGCCTCGAACTCACTATGTAGCCCAGGTTGGTCTCAAACTCATAGCAATCCTCCTGCTTCAGCCTCTTGGTACTGGGACTATAAGCGTGGACCACTACACTGGTTCTAAATCACTGCTTTTATGCGAGTGTCTGAAAGGATCAAGATGGAACCAACAGTCTATTTTTGAATGATCATTCAATAGATAGTCTCTCCTTTGATAGTGTGTTCTTGAGTTCAGTCTTTAGCTGTATTAACACATTAACTCTAGACATACTATGAAACAAACACCATGCATGGTTTCATTACAATTTCTAAAGCCTCAACTTTACAACTTTTTTTTTTGGGGGGGGGTACTGGGATCAAACTCAGGGCCTTGCATTTGCAAGGCAGGTACAAGCAACCCCTGAGCTAAATCCCCAGCCCTTTGACTCTTATTTACCTCAGGGGTATTGTTCTTATTAGTCTTGCAACTGCACTGTTTTTCCTTTTCTACCTAACCATAATTCTCTACACCCCCTTACCCTGAGAGATATGTTGTTCCCGTCTCCTACTTTTCAAAAGAAAGGCTCATTTCTTAGTCATTTAAAATCTTTCTGAGGTGCCCTGCCTGGCTAGAGTGTAAGAATCTCCAGGTGCTAATGCACTTTGGGTTTGGGGGTAACTATTTTAAATCAAGGCACCCTATACTTTCACTTGTTTCTTTTTTCTTTATCTTTCTTTATGTTTTTTTCCTGGTACCAGGTAATGAACTCAGGACCTTCTGCTTGCAAGGCAGACACTGCAAGGCCACTGAGCTAAATCTCTGGCCCTACTTACTTCTTTTAATAGTGGAGCCTACCTCTAAGAAACAGAGTGCATTGACCTCCTTTAGGTACTTTCAATTCAAGTATATTATAGAATGAGGAGGGAATTACAATAACTTTTGTTGGTTCCATTAGCTCTTCTCCCCAATTACTATAAAAAAATACATTACTTCTAAGGGAGGTTCCCTCACAGCAAGGCAAAGAGGGCATTAGTAAGGAAAAACAAAAAAAGTGGAACCTTATTTTGGCCAAGTGTTGATCTCTCAGCAAGCTCCAAGATTTATCTATCTTTCTTTCTTACAATGTGAATTCAGAAGAGGCTAGTTGTTGTGTAGATACATGTTAACGTGTTCATTTGAATGAAAAATGAAGTCAGACCTCCCTATCAGAAAGTAAGCCTGATTTCACTGACAGCATTGACAATGAAGACACTCACCCAATTAGGTTATATGTAGGACATGTTCCAAAGTTCAAAGAGCTAAATATGGAGCTCTAAAGATTTAACAAAAAGTGATTAAACAACATCATAGCACTTAGAATATAATATTCTAATAAGATAAAATTTAAATTCTTTAATTTTATATAAAAATTTTATTATGAAAAAGTTTGCAAGTATAATAAAAGACTCTGAAGCAGAAAATAATTATATTATAATACAATTATATAGGGATGTAGGATAGATATTCATTCAAGAAGGAAACAGACTTACATAAAGTTTCCTACTGTAAAAGAGTATTTGTTTGTGTAGTTTTCAATGAATAATGGTGAGTATCAAATCATTTGATTCCAAGGGCTATAAGTGTATGTAGCTTGGTGGTAGACCATATGCTTAACCTGCAGGAGGCCCTAGGCTCAATCACAGCACAAACACAAAAAGATAAAATCATATGGTTCCTTGACATACATTTAATTATAAGGTACATGGTGGGGGGTACCGGGGATTGAACTCTGGTCCTTGTGCTTGCAAGGCAGGTCACTGAACTGCTAAGCTAAATCCCCAGCCCATGGTACATTATTTTTAAATGTCTGTATTTGGAATATGTCAAAAATCAGATTTTTTGCAATTATTTAATATGATAGCAACTGAAAGAGATTTTTATTTTGTTTTGTTTTGTTTTGTTTTTGGTACTGGAGATAGAACCTGGGCCCTTGCCCAGTTTTTTTAAAAAACATAGTTTTTCAAGATTCTTCTAGGAAATATTCAAACAAAATTGCTTTAAGAATATATTAGCTGGGGTGATGATAGCACATGCCTGTAATCCCAGTGCTCAGGAGGCTGAGGGAGGAGGACCACAAGTTCTAGGCCAACCTAGACTACATAGGAGTTCAAGGCCAGCCTGAACTACATAGCAAGACCCTATCTCAGAAAACTAAAAAAATGTTGCAGCTGGTTCCGCCATACCCCACATTTTTTTTAAAGGAAAGCTGCCTCTTCCTATGTTTCAAGAATGGCTTTCCCTGTCTTTCTTTGTAAAATGGAGTGGGCAGGAATATTCGGTGACTACACTTTCAGAGAATGATACTGTGCTAGGTATCAGTTTCTAAAAACCCTTACCAGAGTGCTGCCAAAATGCTCAAAATTACTTGGTCTCAAAGGGAAGAAAACCTACTGAAAATTTCTCAAAGAGTAAAAGAGTACAAAATGGAAATAGTGAATTCTTCTAAGGAAGAAAAAAAGTATGGGTACTAGATGATGAATCCACATCTTTGACTATAGGTCTGTACAGAGACAGAATTAATATGGCCTTCTCTTCGTGAATTTCTAACATCTGTGAATGAAGATTATGACACTGTTATTTGGTCTGCAACAAATATGAGATGGATTAAAGCTAAAATGAAAGAGCTGGGAGTGAGCATAAGTGCAAATTATAAGATTACTTTCATGTTGGGCAGTGCTGCTATGGCAACAATACATATTTCAAGATGAGGATCAGCAGACATAAAGCCTCTAGGTGTTATATGGGGAAAGTTTACTGAGTTTTATAGCAAGAAAATCATCATTATGTTTGATAACATAGGAAGAAATTTCCAAATGAACCCATAAAATGGACTAAAGATAAGGCCTTTCATAAAGCATACCTAATTAAGATAAATAATTTTTAAATTAACTTACTACCTCAAAGAAACAGCAAAATTAGATAATTTTTGGAGCTAAATCACAAATACTGGGAAAGGTATCTCTCAAAGAAGCAAGGACAGCAGTTACAAGTTATCCTGAAGATATCTGAAGATAAATCATCACATAAATAGAGTGTAACAGTACTCAGAAAAATATTGTAATAAAAACCCATGTTTTTAAACCATAAACTTAAAGGTCTCGATATTCTTCTTCCTCTTCCTCTACATCTTCCTCTCCTTCTTCTTTCTCTTGTTTTGTTTTTTTTTTGTTTTCAAGTATGGGGTCCAAAGACAGGGCCTCAAACATATTAATTAAGTACTCTACCCCTGAGCTATATACCCTTACCAGTAAATACTCTCTTCAACAGAGAAAAGCTTAGAGAAAACTAAACACACCTCTTTATATGTATCTCTAACTTCTGACTACTGAAGAACAAAATATACCCCATATTTTTCTACATGCCATTCCCCAATGCTTCCACATTATCTTATTTTTTTATGCGTTATTATATTTCTCAGGTATAAATAGGGTATACTGTTTTCTACTATATCTGATCAAAGTGTTTGTTAAGTAATAAAAAAAGCATAATATATTTTAAATTCTTATAAAAACAAAAGATAATAATTTTCTTTTTTTTTTTTGAGACAGGGTCTCACTATGTAGTTGAGACTATGTAGCGGCAGGCTGGTCTCGAACTCACAGCGATCCTCCTGCCTCAGTCTCTGGAGTGCTGGGATTACAAGCATGAGCCACCACGCCAAGCTGATAATAATTCATTTTAATTTAATGAGTTTATCAATAATATAAATAGCATCTATCCAAATAACTTTGTGAGTGTGTGTGTGTGTGTGTGTGTGTGTGTGTGTGTGTGTGTATTTTTGTTTTGTTTTGTTTTGTTAAAGACAGGGTCTCACAACATAGTTCAGGCTGGCCTTGAATTCACTATGTAGCCAAGGCTGGCCTCAAACTTGCAGAGACTTCCTGTATCAGCCTCCCAGTGCTGAGATTACAGGCATGTACTATCATGCCTGGCAACTTTATAGTGTATAATAATTAACTTTCAAAACTTTTAAATTATTTCACAATCAGTCTATTACCAGGAACAGATATGATACATACCTGTGTCTGAAGGACGTAAAAAGTCTGTGTCACAGGTGAAAAATGTCTGATGGTCCTGTGCTGACAAGTTCATATCATAGTATGTAAGTGGCTCTTTACCAGTTACCCAAGTGTATCTTTACCAAAACACAAGAAAATATTTAAATTGGACATGAGACAGAATCTGTCTGTTACAATGGACACTATTTAAATTCCAAAAATATACAACTACAACTTCTATTTCAGGATGTTATTATATTCAGGAAAACAAGAGAGATAATCTATATAAACTACCAAGAATATGATAATAAAACATCAAAAACCAAGTAGGAAAGAATAAATGCTTTGAAAATTGTATTTAAAGGAATAAAACAATCTCAGTTAGTCATATACTGTATTAAATACAGGGGAGGCCAGACCTAGTGGCTCTAATCTGTAATCCCAGAACTCTGGGAGGCTGAGGCAGGAATATCACCAGTTTTGAGTCCAGCCTGGGCAACACAGTGATTAGGAGACCCTGTCTCAAAATAAGAAATAAAAAAGGGCTGGGATGATGTAGCTCACTGGTTTCAACTCTTAGTAACACACACACACACACAAATATAAAAAATTCTCAATGAGTTAGCATTAAACATTAAAACTCTGCGGAAACAAAAAAAAAAAAACACAAGTGAATTTTTCCAGATATCAAGATGGTGAAAGGGCTTTGAAAGCCTAAAAACTAAGAGAAGCTTTCCAGATTTTACTAAAGATTTTAAGCTTTTACAACTCCCCAAGCCTAAAGTAAATTAACAGCAAGTTAACAAACTGGATACTAAATACATTTTTAAATGTCAAATCTCCATTGGCACAAAAGTAGACATATGGATCAATGGAACAGAATAAAGGATGCAGAAACAACCCCAGGCACATTCAGTCATCTGATCTTTGACAATAGCGGTCAAAAGCATACACTGGAAGAAAGATATCCTAACAAATGGTGCTGGGAAAATTGGCTATACACATGCACAAGATTGAATCTAGATTCTTTTCTCCTACCACTTACTAAACTAAAATCAAGAGATAAAAGATCTAAATATTAAAACACAAACACTTAACCCATTGGAAGATAAAATAAGTAAAACCCTTGAAGTCATAGATGTAGTGAAGGACTTTCTGGATAGAACTCCAACTGCACAAGAAATAACATCAAGAATCAACAAATGGGATTACATCAAAAAGTTCCTACCCAACAAAGGAAACAGTTAACAGAGTTAACAGACAACCTACAGAATGGGAAAATTTTTTGCCAGTTACTCCTCAGAGGACTAATATCTAGAATACATATAAAAACCTCCCCCCAAAAAATTGTCCCCCTCACCCGATCAGAAAATGTGCAATTCAATAAAAGACTCAATCAGAAAATGGTCAATTAAAATGAACACACTTATAAGATGTACAAATGGCCAATAAATACGTGAAAAAATTTTTCAATACTTTCAGCATTTGAGAAATGAAAATTAAAACAACACAGATTCCATCTTACTCCAGAGAAAGAATGACTATCGCCAAGAAATTGAATAAAAATGCTGGCAAGGCTGCAGGGAGAAAAAGGATTCCTTCTACATTGTTGGTGGGAATATAGACTAGTACAATCATTATGGAAATTAGTATGAAGATTCTTCAAAAAACTAAAACTAGAAATGCCACTTGACTCAGCTATTCCCCTATGTATCTTCCTAAAAAAGTTTTTAAAATATTATAATGATGCATGCATACCTACATTTATAGCAGCACAATTCATAATAGCTAAATCTTGAAAGTGACCATCAACAGATAAACAGATAAAGAAAATATAGTATTAATACACAATGGAGTATTACTATGCTATAAAGAAAGGTAAATTTGAGTCATTTGTAGGCAAATTAATGCACCTTGAGACCACAATGTTAAATGAAATAAATCAGATAAAACCCACAGATCTTTTGCAAAAGTAAAGGATACTAAGATGAAGGGGGAAGTAGAAGGGGACCAATACGGAATTAAGATATGTTATGTACATGTACCAACTTCACACAATGAATATAATCAGCCTACATACTACAAACATATGCTGATAAAAGTAAACACTTTTTTAAATGTTAAATCTCACTAGTAATTAATAGTAATTAACAGATAAGTGAATTAAAGTAAGGAAGTTTTACTCTTCACCTATAAATTTAGTAAAGATATTTTCAAGGACTGTTAAGGCTTGTATCTAGATGTTCCCCCAAGGCCTCCTATGATCATGGGGGTGGGAGGGGCTTTTCAGAGGTGGCTGGAGCTAGGGTGTGTGATGCTGGGATTAAGGATGTTCCATCCCGGGTGTGGGTGCTATCCGCCCAAAGGGCAGGTAACCTGGATACAATCAATATAAGGACAGAAAGCTTGCTGCTTGCTGCCTTCTGCCTGTCTTGCAATGCCATGTTCTCCTATGTATGCCATCCTGCCTTAGAGCCAGCCGACTATGCCCTGAAACACCTACAAGCTAAGCTAAATAAACCTTTCCTCCCTTAACTTGTGGGTGTCAGATATTTTGCCTTAGCAACCAGAAAAGTAACTAAGACAAGGATGAAGTGGGATATGCACACATATAGTACTGGTATAAATGGAAATTAGACTTAGATTTCTCTTTCCAAAAATAGAGTAGATATTATCTATTAAGTCTTAAAAATAGGGCCAGGGATTTAGCTCAGTGGTTCTGCCACCTGCCTTGCAAGCGCAAGGTCCCAAATTTGATCCCTGGTACCAAAAAAAAATGGTAAAAAAAAAAAAAAAAAAAAAAAAAAAGTTAAAAAATAGTCACACCTTGCTGGTGGATGAGTACTTGGAATTTTACTATTCTCTTTAATTTTGATTATTTAAAAAATATTCATTGTAATACTTTTAAGAAAACTAGTAGTAAAAGGAAAAAACAGTTCATAAAATTCATTAACAGTTCAGGAAATAATCATAGATGTGGCTAAATATTACATATAAAGATATCTCTGTAGTATAAATGTTAACTGTGAAATAATCTTAGAGATGCAGATGGAGAGGCTACAGGTAAAGTACAGTATCACCATGTCATAGACTATAACTAAAAATCACACTAAGAAATTCATGTTGACAATTTTTACAAGAAATTCACATATTACTTCAGAAAAATGTAGGCTGTAGAGCAGCAAGTACAGAGTTTTATTTCTATAAATACATACTGAAGAAAAACTAGATGAAAATAAAATTCTCATAGCAATTATCACTTAATGGTGGGAATAGATGGTTTTTGCTTTACTACATCTCTCTAATTTTAATTTTCTACAACAAATATGCATATATTTATAATCAGAAAAAATAGGCATTTTAAAGCACATGATAGGTATTATATAATCAAAGATTTTAAGTTATTTAGTAGTATTAATTGGTTTGCTAAGGATATTGGCAATGTTATAAAAGTTATAAAGAAAAAAAAAGAGAAAGCAAATTTTTGCTCACCTATCCAAATTTTGCTGTGCATTCTAAAAAGAAATAACATATATATGGTCTGAGGTATAGCTCAATAGAAGAAGACTTGCCGAGCATGGGTGAGGAGAGAACCTGGGTTTGATTACCCAGCACCACAAAAGAGAAATAAATAAAACTTTAAAAAATCTTAACAAGCCATATTATTCCTAAAATGATTTAAAACAGTTAAAATGTAATATATAACATCAATAACCCAAATTAGAAGTAAAAAGATTCAATAATAGAAAAATAAGAACTGGGACACAAATAGAGCCTGGATAGAAGTTAACCTATAAAGTATCTATCAAAGAGCTATACACCCTTGTCAAGGTTTCACTACAGTCTGGCTTTAGCCTATAGAACCACACAATAGTTAAAACATAATTTAGACATTTTATTAACATAAATCATTTAAAAAAGCACAAATATTCCTGATTTTAAGAAATTTCTCTTATGATCTGCATGAAATTTATTCTGTATAACAAGGAATAACCTCAATAACTTTATTAATAAACAGAGAAGTTCAAAGATCTATTTCTTTGATTTTTAATTTCAGCAAAAAAAAGACGCATTGGGATTTAACACTTTGATTTTTTTTATGTTTAACTGTTTTTGTTTTTTGTTTTTGTTTTTGTTTTTTTGGTACCAGGGATTGAACTCAGGACCTTATGCTTGTGAGGCAGGCAGCAGAACCACTGAGCTAAATCCCTGGCCCTCAAATGATTTTTTTTTTCAAACAAAACATTTATTGGTTCATTTTAGATATACACAATAGTAACATTCATCATACAGATTTTGTATCTGTATATATCTTGCTTCTTTTTTTTCTCATTTCCCTCCCCTCTCTTTGAACCCTCTTCCCCTCCTTATTCACAAAAGTTTTGAATCCATTTTTTCCTTTGTATTCTTTTTCTCCTTGTTCCTTTTTTCCCTTCCCCCGCTCCCTTGTTCGCCTTCACATTTCCCAGTACCTATTATACATTTTGGTCCTTATTTCCATTTTTAGTTTCTCCCACTAAAAAAAAAAAAAAAAAAAAA